CCCCTCCCCCAGACTCACCCGCCGCTCGTACAGCGCGTTGAGGTCGTCCGCCATCCGTCGCAGCTGGGCCCCGATCTCTCGGGCCCACTGCTCCTCCTCTCCCCGGACTCCCGGGGCCGCCTGGGTGGGACCTCCCGCCAGGGCCCCCGGGGCGCTGGGCACGGGTGACTCCAGGTGCTGTTCCGCCGGCGAGAGCGCGGGCTGAGGACCTGGAGGAGGCCAAGGGGCAAAGTCAATACCTACCTCCCCTTCTGGCCTCGAAGTGTCTGTGGGGACCAGGAAGCCTAAGTGGCCAAGCCTGGGGCTCCCTTTTCCTGCCGCCCGATTTCCCTTATTATGCTCCCCGCCTCATGTCTAGCGAATTCGCTTTTCTCCCTTCCAGGCTCACTTCTCAGCCCCTCCTCCTCCAGCAGGGAAAGCAAGCAGAAGCCCTGGAGAGATCTCTCTGGGGTCAAGGTCTGACCCAGGGTCAGCCTGGAAGTCCTTCCTGTTATCTAATCTAAATGCCCTTCTATCCCACCAAAGAAAGAGTGTGTGTGTGTGTGTGTGTGTGTGAAATTTTGCCTACCCCATTTGACAGATGGGGAAAACTGAGGCCCACCCTAAGAAGGTCACACAGGGATACAACGACTGACCCCACCCACAGTTACAAGCCTCCAATCTCCTACCCACTCAGGTCCCACCACAGTCAGGCCACACCTCCGGATGTGGTCGGGGTCTGGAGACCAGAAGACCAGACTGTGGCTGCCACTGAATTTGGTCCGGGGGGGGGGGGCGGGGCAGCTGGGATGCCTTCCTCGCCCCCCAACCTCGGGGGTCTCCCTTTTGAGGTCGAAAACTAAGCCTCAGTTTCCCCATTTGTGACTGAGGTTTGGATAGTGAGGTGTCCCTACCCCACCGTCAGGTCTCAGCCTGGGAAGTTTCTTCTCTTTTTCTTTCTGGGTTTGCAAGAACGGAGACAACCTCTTCTGTGTCACAGTTTGTGTGTTTTTTTGGGGGTGGGGTGAGCGTGTATCCCGCAGGGATAAGAGTAGCCGGGCATCACAGGGTTAACAGCCCATCAGGCAGGGGACCTTTAACCCTTCCTTCCCCACAACTCACCCCCCCTCCCCAGGGGGAATTTCCCAACACAATAGCCCCTCCCCCTCTCCTTCCTCCTCCGGACGACAGTGAAAACCCCACTTGGCCAAAGAAATACAAATAAGGGCAAATGGCCAGGCTTGCCCCCTCCCCAAAGTCCGGAGGGGCCAGGCTCGCCCATCACCTCTCCAACTGCAACCCTTGGGGGAGTCCAGGGGACCCGGCCCAGGAGCTGGGAAACAGCTGTCGCCCAAGGCCGGAAGAGGCCGTGGCCTGCAACTCGGGGACTTCAGTCAGATTCCAGAAGGGACTTCCCATTCGGCCTCTGCCCCCCCAACCCCTTGCCTCCCACTCTGTCTTCCTGCTTCTTGCAACACAAAGACCACACTGGCCACACCCTCCCCATGGCCTGGCTCCCTGTTCCCCCCTAACTTCGCTCCCACTTTTTGGGCTCCCCAGGGTCCCTCTACAAGCTCTCAACATTTCAGCCACGAGACAGGCACTTACCGTCGGGGCGCGGGCCTCGCGGCCGGCTGCGGGAACCCCCAGGCCAGCGGGGGCCCCCAAGGGCGGCGGTGACGGCGGGCGGGGCGGCGGGGGCGCAGAGGTAGGCGGCGGGCAGCAGGGCTGGGGCGGCGGGCAGGCTGGGTTCGCAGAGACCGCAGGACACGGCCGAGGGCACGAGGCGGCCGAGCGGGAAGGGGCGCGGGCTGTCGCGGGCCAGGCCCTCTACGGGCTCCGGGGAGCTGCCCTCTTGGCGTGCGCGGGCCATGGCGCTCCCGGGGGCCTGTGGGACACAAGGGAGGGGCAGGTCAGCGGGGACGTGCAGGGGACATAGGGCCTCGCCATACACGGTGAACAGATAATGATGGACACATAGGGAGAGGGGTTACAGGACACCCACCACCCAGGGTGACTCCAGTCAACCTGAGCTGTGCTTTGGGTGCACGTGGGGCCAGGAAGGCAGGATGTTCTCCCAGCAACTCTGAGAGGAAAGCCTCTGAGGGGTGTGTATGAGTGGGTGTCGGAGGCCCAACACAACCCCCAATCTGGGACTGACAGGACAGGCGCAGGCTTGGATAACTTCGGGAACCCAGGGATAGGCCCTCCCACGCCACACACAGGCATGCTGACAGGACTCAGATAGATGGAGGAGCTGGGAAGTGTGTATGACAGGGGCACAGATGAGGAGGGATGTGTATGATAGGGGTGCCTATGGGGAGGGGAAGGGCACACAACACACACACACACACACACACACACACACACACACACACACACACACAGGGGTAGCCACCCTGCACCACCTTTTGCATATAAACATTGAGATGGAGCGAGTATGGGACAGAAAGACATTCAAGCAGTGACCAAAATGTGAACAGATGCACACACATCCCAACCACAGAGCAAACTCCCTTCTACCCCTCCCCCCACCACCAAACTGTCAAAATCCCCACACCCTGATAAGCCCAGGGACACACACACATACACACACCCCTAACAACACACAGCCATCAGTTGTCAGACACACAAGCAGGAGACAGGCCCTACTCAGCCCAGGCCACACCAGAACACACCCCTCTCAGCACCAACTCTCAGACCCCAGGACCCAGGAGGGACGCAGTGAGATGCCCTACACGCCAGCCACTATGTGGTTGCAGACGCAGTAGCATAAGAGCAGTTATCAGTCTATCCCTGTCCCTCTCGCTCCAAGACAACCTCACCAACTGTCAGACCCCAACACACACATACACAGAGGCAAACACAGCGAACTCTAATCCTGCACACACACACCCAAAGCCCTGACAGCAACATTGATCTCACGTGACGGACATAAACACTCCACACACGCAGCCCACATGACACACATGAGCCAGCCCCCTCATGGAGACAAGCCCCTCAGACCCAGAGCGCGCGCACGGACGGACACACACACACACACACACACACACACACGATCTGAGAGGCAGGCAGCAACACCCGCTGACTACACAGACCCACAGAGCTGCGTTCAATTCCCAGACACTCAGGCAAAACACAGACCGAGACAACTCCCCTCTACACACAAACACACACCACACACACGCGAGCGAGCGCGCAGACACACACACACACACACACACACACACACACACACACACACACACACACACACACACACGCTAGATTCACGAAAGACACCTGGGCAGAAAATAAACATTGGCATTCAGCAAGCGCGGTCATAAAAAGCACTCGGTAGGGACACATGCCCCGGAGATACACGGAGAGACAGCCACCGCCAGATAATGCGCATGGCGCGACGCACCGAGACACAACACACTCGGGCAGGGCACATACAAACACAAACGCAACTGACTCAGGCAATACACACAAGCACAAATGGAGACAGCTCCCCTCATACACACATATAAATACGAGCAAGGCACTTGTGCAAACTCACCCCAATAGTCTCTACTCCGGCAACACAAATACCCACTATCACCGTGGACTGTACAAGCAGGCAAGGGGGACCGAGGGAATCACCCCCAGACAGGACTCGCAGAGAAGGCACACCGACACAGGTAGAACAGCACAGAAACAGGGCACCTGCCTCACAGGCGCGGCAGACCCCCCTCTCCCACAACGCACAACCTACACCCCAAACATTCCCCTGGACTGTCGCCACCCAGCTCTTTGCAGAGCCCAGCACAAACTCGGAGCCAGACAGCAGCACACACCCAGGCGAGACACCTGCAGCTCCACAACCCCGCACACGCGTGCTCCTACGGCGGTCCCAGACGCCCCTCGGCTGTCACCGCTCCTCCCACCCCGCCGCCGCCACGTGCGCCCGCCCCGCCCGCCAGCAGAGCGCGGGGCCAATAACGGGCTGTTGCTGGGGCGCAGCCCCCGCCCGCAGGAGCCGCAGACTCGGCGGCCCGCGAGCCGCCCCCTGCCACCGCCCCCACCGGGCGCGCGCCCGGGGTGTGGCCGCCCCTCCTCGCCGACCCCCTCCCCACCCCTCCGGGACCGCGGGCGCCGGGGCAGCCGGGGTCGACTCTCTTCCCCGGGGCCGCACTGGCCGCCAGGGGGCGCTGCCGAGCCCGCACCCCATTGTTTGTAAACAAACCCGCCAGACCGCTGAGGCACCTGCGCTCCCGGACCAGGCGCCCGGTCCTTCCGTGCTTCCCGCCCAGACCGACCCCCGTCCAGGGTCTCCAGGCGGGGAGACGGCAGACACTGCGCGTCCCGCCACTCTCCAAGTGCACTCCTGTCACCTCCTCCAGGGAGTCCACCCGGCCTGGCCACTAGCGGGGACCCAGGCTGCGCACACTCACCCCGGGGGCATGAACACGCCGGAGGGGACAGTGGCGGGTGGCGGGGCGGCTTCCTTTAGGAGGGCTCGCCCGCCAGCGCCGCTCGACGCGGCGGCTGCTGCTGCTGTCGCTCTGCTGTGGCCGCTGCTGTCGCTCTAACTGCAGTGGCGGCTGCTGTCGCTGTGGCTGCCGCGCTGCTGCTGCTGCTGCTGCTGCTGCTGCTGCTCCGGCCTCGCGGGCGCGTCTACGTCGTGGCCGCCGCTGGTCTCGGTGCTGCCGCGCTGCTGGGCTCCCGCTCGCATGTGGCTCGCGCCGCCTCTCAGGCCGCCCGCC